ACTCTAAATTCAGAACTTACACCTCGGCTTTCCTAATGAAAGCTTACTTATTTTATGAGAGAGCGATCTTTTTGACGGAGTCGTGTCTGTCGCCCGCTCGCTAGCTTAGCGCTTTTTTTATTTTTTATTTTTTATTTTTTTTTTATTTACCTTTATCGTAGATGTCTCTGGTTTCCTGTTTCGAATACGGCCGGAGTTGATTCCCCCCTCCGGAGAACCAGACGTCCTCCCGCTCCCAAAACGTCCTACTTGGAGGGTCGGAGGTCCGGTGATCAGCCCCGTCGTGATTCTCCGTCGGCCGGACGAACTCCCGGCGTATCCCAAAGCGGTGCCTCCAAACTTTTGTGGAAAATAATAATTGTTCTAAACTTTAAAAAACTCTTAATAAAAAGAAAACCAGAGACATTTCTCTTTTAGCTCAAAACGGAGCGCGAGGTTTATTCTTTCTGCAGAAAGGAGTTGCTGCCTGCGTGAAGTCAGAACAAGCACATCACAGCACACTGGATTCTTAAAGAGACAGTACATATATTTATACATGTTTCGTGCGTCACAATAACATTCTATCATGAAGGGAGGATAAGTTCCTCAGGTTGATACCATACACAAGTTCTTGTTATCAGTACGAGATGATGTTATTCTTCTTGTTGAGCCGTGTTCTGTAACAAGTCTTCTGTCCATGTGACTAGAACATTCTGATAAACATTTGTGGAGCTGGTATTTTTTAATTAGATTTGTAACAAGTCTTTGTTCATGTGGCTAGAATCTCTGAAAAAGAAAAACATATTGATACGAAAAGCGTCCTCAGCCGTTTAGATAAAAGTTCTGTATCTTTGCCTCTCTGCAGGTGGTGAAATACAAGGACGTTTGCTGAGCAGAGGACAAAAGTTCACATTTACAAGAGTTTACCAGAGTTCACATACACACACCAACTTTGAAAGTCTGCAGAATGAACATGGATTAAATGATATTTAAACAATACATGTTAGTTTATTAATTTTTTTCACAAAGTGGTCTCCAGCTACAAGTACTTGGGTGTACACATGAATGACAACCTCAGCTGGAGCAACACTACCACCAGCCTGATCAAGAAAGCTCATCAGAGACTCTACTTCCTCAGACGGCTGAGGCGAGCTGGTCTGGGAAGCTCATTCCTCACCTCCTTTTACAGGTGTGCAGTGGAGAGCATCCTGTGCTCCAGCATCAACATGTGGCATGGAGGCTGCACAGCTGCAGAAAGAAAAGCTTTGCAGAGAGTGGTGAAGGCTGCACAGAAGTCTGTCGGAGTCAGCCTCCCCACCATCACAGACGTCTACACCTCCAGATGCAGGAAGAGGGCTACCTGCATCATGAAGGACCTCACTCACCTAGCACACACACTTTTTGCCCCACTCCCCTCAGGAAGGAGGTTGAGAAGCATTAAGTGTAGAATCACTAGACTGAGGAACAGCTTCTACCCCAAGGCTGTTAGACTCGAATCTCTAACTAGAATAATCGCTGTGAAAAATTACATCATGTTGCTGCTGATCTGTTTCATGTTGCTGCTGATCTGTTTCAATGTTGATGTGTTCATGCGTGCTCATCTGCTCACACAGACTCATGTTCATGTTTGTGCTGATGTTCAACGTGTTATGTTATGAGTGCTTAGTGTATATTTAGTTGATGTTTTTCTTAGTTCATATCTTAGATGTTATTACTGTTTTTCTTATACATTTTATTGTTGGATGTAACTGGGACCCTGTGTACATAATTTCGCTCCACCACATGTACCACATGAGGTGTGAATGACAATAAAGAAACTCTGACTCTCTGACTTTGACTTATTCTCTGTGATAAGATTAAAATGATCTCACACAGGAGAAAACTTCCTCTTCCTTGGTTGATCAATGGTATTCAATGACAAGCCAAAAACCAATGCAAAGCAAAGAACACAAACTGGTTCCATCCAACAAAACCCACAAACGTGTCGATACATTTTCTCCCTTATAAATACAATTTGGCACATTCACAACCTAATGATACAGTAACTGTATCGGTCACGTGGTTTTCCTTTAAGAGATACGCGCACTGACACGGGGCTTCACCTTGTTTGCTTGGCGCATGCACTGAGGTTTCAGTGTCGTCAGAACCATCACTAATTAGAGATTCATGAGTCTAACAGCCTCAGGGTAGAAGCTGTTCCTCAGTCTAGTTGTTCTACACTTAATGCTTCTTAACTTCCTTTCTGAGGAGAGTGGGGCAAAAGGTGTGTGTGCTGAGTGAGTGGGGTCCTTCATTATGCAGGTGGCCCTCTTCCTGCATCTAGAGGTGTAAATGTCTGTGATGGTGGGGAGACTGACTCCCAACAGACTTCTGTGCAGCCTTCACCACTCTCTGCAAAGCTTTTCTTTCTGCAGCTGTGCAGCCTCCATGCCACATGTTGATGCTGAAGCACAGGATGCTCTCCACTGCACACCTGTAGAAGGAGGTGAGGACTGAGAACATATATAATATATAAGAAATATAATGTTTCTTCTTATACTTTATATTGTTATTGTTGGATGTAACTGGGACCCTGAGTACATAATTTTGTTCCACCTTGTAGATGAACATATGCTGATATATATTCATAAATTAAACGGATTCTTTCATTTTTCTGGACTGTATAATGTACGTGCATTGAATTTAATAAAATGTGGACGGAAACGTGTTTATCTTTGACTCACCAACGACAGTGGGTCATTTATTTAAAAACGATTTAAACACATCACACATTTACATTAATTTGGCAAAATGATTTATAACAACATGGCTAATTTAGCAAGTTTTACAAGGAGTAGACAATACGGCGATTGTTTTCTCACTTCCAGCAGTACAACAGACATTAACCATACGGCGATGGTTGAAAAACTTCACAACAGACATTTCTGGAAATATCTGGATTAATTTGCTAGCAGATAGAAGAGTTTAAAGATTGAAGTTTAGAGGGAGGGAGATGGTGTGTGTGTGAGTGAAAAGTGTTGAACAGAACGGCACCCTCCATTCGACCCAGCTTTCCTCGGTACGCTCGGTAGTGAACTCGACTCATTACCTCTCTGACGATGAATCAGTGGAAGCGGAGCTCCAGTTAAGCTACCGGTCCAGCGTCTCCGTAGGATGGCAGAGAACCGTCCGGAGTGGTGGCGGGACTTCATCAACAACAGTTCACCTCACGAGTGGACTTCACATGAGTGGAGTCCTTCAGAAGTTCCACTCAGAGGTGGAAGATGTCATAATTCCCACAAGACTCGGAAGAGCTCTGGATTATGCTGGACTTCTGTTCTCCCAAACGACTGGAGCTGCAAACTCTCCACCCGACTCCAACTGGGTTGAACTAGGAAGTACCGACATTTAAAGAGCTCTATTTCCGGTTCATTTGGGAGTTTCTGATTGGTCGATGGACCAAAACAGAGGTGTGTTTTGTGATGTAAGGTGTTGTTAAAAAGTCAAGGAAAAAGATTAAGATTGTTTAAGAACAGACAGAAGATATTATGAAGAACTCAGACTTCGTGGAGTCAATTCTCTAGTATCTTGCTGTAAAAGTTAAACATGACATTTCTTTTTCAGTAAACTTGCAGTTGACCGAAACTTGAACTTTGACCAACTTACACAACTTGCTCATTTCAAACAGACGATCAAGAAATTGAATCATTACTCTGTAACATATTCCAACTTGATTTCCACTTTGAATGAGGATTAAAAATCGTTATTACTGTTTCACAGTTGATTTAAAAATGAGTAGTTCACTTCAACATTTAAACATTGTTTGAACTAACACAATTTGATTATCAAACATTTGTAAAATAGTAATGATAATCGAAAGTAGTCTTCTTTCACTTGATTAATTCAAGAAAGAAAGTCTCAGGATGGGTCAACCTGTATTTCTGGATTCAAATCAATGAAATGACAGTTTCTGTCCCATAAGATCCTTAAGGTCAGGATTTGACCTCAGGCCTAGTTTACTACAACCTCATGTACCACATGTGATGTGAATGACAATAAAATTGACTTGAACTTGATATGTGTAGAATTCCTTTTTATTAAAAAAAATAATAATAATAATCAAAAAAGAAATTGTTTCATTATGACAGTAAAGGGAGGCAGCATGGTGGCGCAACTGGTAGAGCTGCTGCCTCTTAGCGAGCAGGTCCCCGGTTCAAACCCCGGTCCGGGGGCCTTTTTGGATGGCGTTTGCATATTCTCTCCGTGCATGCGTGGGTTTTCTCCGGGTACGCCGGTTTCCTCCCATAGACCAAAAACATGCATGTTAGACTGATTGGTAACTCTAAATTGTCTCTAGGTGTGAGTGAGAGAGTGAATGGTTGTTTGTCTTATTTGTCTCTATGTGTCCCTGTGATGGACCTGTCCAGGGTGTACTCCGCCCCTCACACATTGATTGCTGGACATGGGCACCGGCGACCCCCGTGACCCAAAATGGAAGAAGCGGGTAAAAGATAATGGATAGATGAAAGTATAGGTCCATATTAAACTAAATATATTGTGACTTGTGCATGTTAGTACAAAGGAAAAGACCAAACCTATAAAGAAGGAGGAAAACATTAAGTATTTTTAGTTCTTGACATTTAAACACTAAGGTTTAAAGGCCTGTGTGAGTCATTTCTGTAGTTGAAAGCTTATAAACAGTTTATATCCAACTATGAATGGCTGCTGAAGAAGAAGCTAAAACTGAATTTAAGCTAAAATAAGTAAAATGTCATCAGAATACTAGTTAAAAGGAAGAGGCGGCAAAATGCAAGGTAAAAATATACAGAAGGTCAGCCGAGGTAAGAGTAAAGCAAAATGTAGCAAAAGATGACAATAATTTATAATAATTTTAATTTAAATTTTCAGGTCTCTCTTGTAAATGAGTCCTAGAGGCTCAATGGGATTTACCTGTATAAATAAAGGTTGATTGATTGATAATAGTAGTAGATGTTAAAGAAGTTTTCAGAGAATAATGGTTTGAAACATTTAAGAACTATTTATATGGGAAACATTTAAATTGTTAAAAGTTTTAAAAAGTGTAAATGTTACAACAAAAAGTCCTATTTAATCATATGTTAATCCTTTCTGACAGTATCAAGGAAGAGGTGTCAGAGGAGAAGCTGAAAGGGGTCAAGCTGTGGATCACTGCAGGGCCAAGAGAGAAGTTCACAGCTTCAGAGGTGACCAACGCATTTTGTCACATCTAACGTGTCTGCACTGCAATATCTGAAACACATGTAAAGGGGGAAGTTTGCAGTTCGGTGTAAGATAATGAGCTTGTTTTGGTCTGTTTGGTTTTCCTTCAGCTGGAGGTGTTGAAGCAGTACCTGGATGGAGGTGGTAACATGCTGGTCATGCTTGGTGAAGGAGGAGAAATGAAATATGACACAAACATCAACTTTCTCCTGGAGGAGTTTGGAGTGATGGTCAACAACGGTGTGGATTTAAATTAGCTTCAGTCGTGGTTCACAGCATATTTACTGATGTAACAATCTCACTTGTTATGATCACACACCTCCGAAGGCGAAGCGACGATGATGATTTTGCTTGTGTGTCTAGCGTTAGCAAAATATGTCATGAACCACTGGATCAGTTTGAATGAAACTTAAAAAGCAGTCATTGGATGTATTATCTAAAAAAGATTAGCTTCATCAAACACAAAAGTTTCTGACAGACAACTTTACAGATACTGAGCTAAAGTTTAGTGTAGTAGTAGCTGAGAGTCATTCACAACATGCACTCTGAGGGCTACACACTGTTCGAGAAACTTGCTTCAATCATTGCCATTAACTGGTAAAACCAGTGTTAGCAAAATATCACATGAATAACTGGGCAGAATTTCTGGAGTGAGATCACACAAACATGATTGAGGAGGTTTAACTCTGTCCCTTCTCAGATGATTTTAGTTTAGCTCTGACATGAAAGGTAGCAGGCAATAAGTGTTACTCCAAAGGGTGCTTGACTTTTGCTTTCATAATATTTTTCACATTCTTGCTCTCACAGATGCTGTTGTGAGGAATATGTACTATAAATACTTCCATCCCAAGGAGGCACTTGTGTCCAACGGCGTGTTGAACAGGTTCGACGTCAGATACAAACAGTTCTAGCCACCTTATTCCTAGCTCCGTGCTTATGAATTATGAATTATGGGCACGACTTCCGGCGTGGACCAGAACCAGTGTTTGTTTTTATGTGAACAATACGAGCTAATGTAGTTTCTCTGAGCATTGTGGCTTTAATTTAAGCATGTAGAAACACCACCTGTCAGAGCTCAAACAGGAAATATAATCATACCACTGCCTGCTGAGGACGAGGGATGGAGGACGACCTGAAGAAGTGGCTGCAGATTACATCTACTAGCATATTTAGCTACTTCATTGACTCGGGTTTTCTGACGGTGAAGTGATGAACAACCTGAAAAGCTCTGAGGTGTATCAGTATCTACACAGTAATAAGGTCGGTGGTGTTTTGTTAAGAGGTGGGACACAATCTTATTGACCTTAAATCAAACACCGAGCCCAGACAATGTCTTAAAGTCTTCCATCACTGAGCTTGGGTTAATTACAGAGAATATCATAAAACGTTGGTTACGTACTGTAACCCCAGATTCTATTGAGTATAAGCGTAGCCCTTTAAGGCTGTCGCTGATGGTTTATCCCGTTATGCGGAGCATTACACTGAAAAAATTTAGTCCACTCCCACCTGCTGTGTGGGCCCCACCCGTTCCATATAAATTACATAAAGAGCGGGTAATCGGCTCCCAAATAACTTTTCTTCAGCCATTTAGGAGCCAGTGAGGCCCGACGCTTAAAGGGCTACGCTTATACTCATAGAATCTGGGGTTACAGTATGTAACCAACGTTCTATTTTGTATAAGCTTCGCCCTTTAAGGCTGTCGATGATGGTTTAAGGGTGAAGCAGATGTGGTTTTCGCCTCACTGGGTCCATTCGAACACCGTATGAAGCAGAAGCTTGCCCAAAAAATGTCTTGTCACTCAGCTCCCCATGTACGTAATTACGCATTGCGTAATTATGCGTGCCATGCACAGACGCATGTTGTATAACTATGCGTTCTGAATGCATGAACGCCCTGGAAAAATTTCAACGGGGAGGGAAAATATGCTGAAAAGAGCCATGAACTAACCGGTTTACGGCTGAACAGTATGAACAGATTAATAATAACAGGAGAACTTATTATTAATCAAATGAACTGATTGGTAACAATATTCATGAACGGATTAGTGATAATAGAACCAAAATAACAATCACAACTTGTGACTGATAACATCTCACACTGTAATGCATGCAGACAGATGTGAGTAAAACGGAGTTCCGTGAAACAATGACATTCATTCTGTAACACTAAGGACAGAATGTGTCATGGAACGGGCCGTCACATCACGTAGGTAAAAGCGAATGAATGAGCAGGGTGTTGACCACGCGGCCGCAGTGCAAATATCCTGCATTGTCATACCATTATGCAAAGCAGTCGAAGACACAACACCCCTGATCGAGTGTGCCCTGAGGTTGACATCCTGTGGGAGACCCATCCTCTCTAAGCGGATCTGCTCAGTGGCCAGACCCACACGTGCTGGCCTATTTCTGGGTAACTCCTGATCGCTCCTCCTGCCTGGAGGAGAGCATCCTCCCTCCACGGCAGGTTCCACGGGCGCCCCGACAGCAGGCGTTGCAGGACTGGGAACCATGGTGCGTTCACGCGCTCGGGGGCCACCAGGAGAGCTGTCAATCCCTCCTCCTGAACTCGGTTCAGGAACCGTAAAATCAGAGGAGGTGGAGGAAACGCATACAGAAGCGTTTTGGGCCATGGGCTGTGGGCAAACGCATCCACCCCCAGCGGTGGTTCATCTCGCGGGCTCGGAGAAAACCATAGTTGACACTGAGCGTTTTCTCGTGTCGCAAACAGGTCCACAGCTGCTTTGCCAAATTTCTGCCACGTCTGAGTCATCGGGTCTGGATGGAGAGTCCAGTCCCTGTGACGTGGACCGCCCCTGGACATCACATCTGCCCCTTTGTTCAGAACACCAGGGATGTACACTGCTCTGATGGAGAGCAGATTTTGGTGAGCCCAACACAGTAGCTTTCGCGCAATGTGTAACATCTTGGCTGAGCGCACACCCCCTGCTGGTTTATGAAAGCAGCAGTCACCTTGTTGTCTGTGTGAATCAAAACGTGTTGATTCTGTAGCACGGGAGCAAAGTGTTGAATCACATTCAGCATCGTGTGGCACTCCAAAACATTTATGTGGGCAGATGTGTGATGGGGCCACAGCGCCCCTACTGCTTGAGATAGGCATGTCCCCCCCCCCCCAGCCTGAAAGCTACGCGTCCGTGAAGACTGGCACGTGTGACGTGGGTCTGCTGACTGGGGCTCCCTCCGACAGAACCAGGGTGTTTCCCCAGTGTCGGAGGTCTGCCCTCACGGAGGAACAGTGATCATCTGTCTCTTTTGTTTTTCTGGATCCACACGCAGACGTGCAAACCACCTCTGGAGGCGTCTCATGTGTAATAAACCCAGCGGGACAACTGTGTGAGCTGATGACATCATTCCTAACAGCTTCATGATGGAAAACAGCTGTTACCACTCTGCCAGGTCTTACGAGACGGAGCTGGTCTTTTAAAGTGTCGATTCTCGTTTGTGATAAACGAGCCCTCATGGTGGTTGAGTTAGCTCCACTCCCAGATAAACAATTGTCTGGGCCAGGAAAATTGAGCTTTTCTTCCAATTTATGGTGAAGCCCAGATTTAACCGGTGTGATGTCAACACCTGAGCCTGCATCATTGCTTCCTGTCTGGAGCGTGACAGCAGCAGCAGGTCGTCCAGGTAAAACAAAACTCTCATCCCTGCTCTGTGTAACGGATGCAGGGCTGTCTCCACACACTTTGAGAACGTACGAGGCACGAGAGGATAACCAAACGGCAGCCTGTTGTACTGATACCTCATCCCTTGAAAGGAGAAACGCAGGAATTTTCTGTGTTTTGGGATGATCGGTATGTGAAAATAAGCATCTTACAGGTCGACGGAAAACAAACCAGTCGTTTCTCTGGATGTTGTCCAAGAGCTGTCTGGTTGTCAACGTGAAACGGTTTGTCCATGATCACCTTGTTGAAAGCTGACAGATCCAAAATCGGTCTCATCCCTCCGGTCCGTTTGGGAACCAGGAAGTAACGTGAGTAAAACCCTGTATTTTTCTCTCCGTTGGGAACTCTGGAGATTACTTCTTTTATCAGAAGCTCTTGGACTTCTGCATTTAGGGATGAGATTTGGTCTGGTGATGACAGGACTGTCTCTAAAATTCTTCCGAACGGAGGGGGTTGGGTTGCAAATTGTAACATGTAACCTTTGCATAACACCCTGGCCATCCATCTGTCTGGTGAGCATGTTTTTAGTCACTCCGCGTAACGTTTGTGGAGTGGACGTGCGTTTAAGTGATGCGTCATGTTTTGTACGGATGTCATCCAGTCCACCGCCTCAACCGCCGTCATGTCGCGGGAATGTTTTCCACGTGACCCAAGGCGTGGCTTCCTCGAAAGGGCTTTGAACGCGCCCGTGTGCTGCGTTCGGACCGCGGACCAATCTTCATGTCTAGGTGGGCCGGTGTGTGCTGAGGCGAAGCGTGGCAGCTGATTATGCCATGGGGCTGCGCTTTTGACGCCACTGCGGTGAAAACACGTGTCGCTCCTGCCGCGTGCGGTGTCCTGCACTGGGTTTGCTTTGAGATCTCGCATCTATGCCGCCATGAGCGGGCGAGCGCTGCGAAGCTGTGAGTGCGACTTCATCTACGCTGTGCCGTTTGAGTGAAGACTGCGAGCCCCGCAGGAGCACACGTTTTCTCTGGTGGGATGTGCGCCGCTCTCGCTGGAAGCGAGACTCGTCACTGGGTTTGCTTAGCTGTCTCATGCTTATGCTGCCATGAGCGGCCGAGCACTGAGACGCGGTGGATGAAGGCTGCCTGCGACGCGGCGGCACGCGTTTGCTTCGATGCGGCGTGTGTCGCTCTCACTGAGAGCGTGGTCCTCCACTGACCCGACCTGCGGTCCCACATTTATGCCGATGTGGGCCGGTGAACGCCGGGGAGCTGTGTGTGTGCCATCATCAACGCAACGCCGTTTGGGTGAAGGCTGTTTGCGTCGCGTGAGTGCGCATTTGACACCGCTTGGGTGAGGATCTTGCAGCTCAGGTTGACAACGAGTTATTTCGCTTACCATTGTGAGGTGTGAGCGTCTAGTCATGTCTTGGAGCAACGGTGAGTTTAAAAAACCCTTATTAAAGACACTGTCTCGTTATGTGTGGAGGGTGTGTGCGCAGCCGCTGTGAGTCCATCCGAGCTTACAGACTGACTAGAAACAGACACTTGATCATTGAATAATGTTTTATTCAACATTTGTGTCATATTTACACACACCCTCTGCAGACCATCATTCTGAATCTTTTCCCCCATGAGCTCTGGGATTCGTTGGCCCAGGGCGCCATCTGCTGGGGGTCTCTGGGAAAAACGTTGGACACTCTGTTGCCGGGATGAAGAGGGCCGGACGGGCTGAAGCTCAGCGAGACGGCCATGGAAACGTCTTGCCACTGGCTCATTTCGTGTGGAGGGTGTGAGAGAGAGCCACTGTCAGATCATCTGAGCTGACAAACTGGCTAAAAATGGACACTTTCATCATTAAATGATGTTTTACTTCAAACTCGTGTCACCTACACACATTCTCTGCCACAACCGTCAATTGCTCTGTCATTTGTTGTCCTAGAGCGCCATCTGTCGGCGGTCTCAGGGAAATGCTGAAAAACTCCGTCCTCCGGCTGCGATGTGGGCCGGCAGACAGCAAAGAGGCGCACCGGTTGGGGGTGACGTCAGCTGCTCTACAGATGGAACGTTGTCTCCTCCCTCCTCTGAACATGTACACCAAAAGCGTAACGTGTTGTTCGCTGCGGCCGTCTGGAACGCATGCTGGTGAGCTCAGTCGAAGATCGGTGTCACCGTCTGGATTACGCTAACCGGAGGCGCGGGACGCTAGTCCACCTGGACATCTTGTTCCGATGAAGCCTCCGTCAGGCTCTGCTCCAGGGGGCACTGAGGGACTTTCCGCTCGGTGAAAACCCCTCTGCTCTGGTGATGGGCGCGGGCTGTGGGAACCGGGCCCCCAATCTACCAGGAAAACCGGCTGTGGCCTCGTCCCGTAGGACGCCCTGTTGGGAGGCGAGATGGCCAGATGGGGTCAGGACGGTGAGCCGGAAAAGGAGCCTAGAAAAAGAATCCTCCCGCCGGATCATCCGAACTGGCGGGAAAAGGCGCGGGACGTAAAAAAGGTCCCTTCGTGTCAGCCACTCCTGGGTTACGCGGGCAACCCCAGAGGGTGCAGTTGGCCGGGAGCGGTGTGATCGCCTATGCGAAACGAGGTGGGATGAGGTGAGCATTCGCTCAGCCCCCCTCCACCGACACTACGCTCTCCAGCCAGGAGGGAATGAGCCGCGGAGGGCCGCTGCTGACGCTGCCTGTCCCGGAGGAACCATCCGATTCGCTCCGGGGGTCGGCGATAAGAGGAAAATTACAAGATGGCGTTGTCCAGCGTGTAGCGACCTGTCACTGAGAAATACTCCTCGGCTCTTACCTTGAAACAAGACTGCTCGTCAGCTTCTCCTCGGAGAGGAGAGCTCACCGGACGACCGGAGGTCGACGTGACGGGCCAAGCATTCTTAACAAAGGTTGGTCATCTACACAACTTTCCTTCTTCGTTCTTCTGACAGTGCTATTAGCTCACTGAAGAAAAATGGGAGCCGATTACCCGCTCTTTACGTAATTTATACGGACCGGGTGGGGCCCACACAGCAGGTGGGCGTGGACTAAATTTTTTCAGTGTAATGCTTCGCATAACGGGATAAACCATCAGCGACAGCCTTAAAGGGCAAAGCTTATACGAAATAGAACTGAAGTTGAACAAATATTATAAAGCTGTGACCTCCATACACTTGAAATCAGACTGATGTTCTCATCACTGTTTTCAATCCTTCTGAGGATCTAGCGTCTCGTCTCCGGTGGTTTATTGTAGTCCAGACACAAAGTAGGATGCAGGTTTTCCCCCGTCAGCCATGTGTCAACAAAGTGAAATGATCTCGCATACAGAGTTTTGGGTGGTCTCTTCAAGTTCACATTTTTCAGCCACATTCTTCTTAATTCCTGATCTGTAGGTAGATGATGGAAATTATACCTCTTTTCACAGGAACATTCTTTTTGTTTTAGTCCATGTTCAAAAATCGTGTTGTTGTAGCCACTAATTTAGTTTGGTTTGGTTGTTCCTGCAGGTACCTGAACTCAGCATGGCTATTTTAATAAACTTTATGGTTGTTAAATAAATGTGAACAAAACAAAAACTGTGTTTTTTTCTGCTAAACTGAATGTAAATTACTTTCAAATAAGCTGTGGTCCGTGCTCCTCTGCCATGGTTAGCCCATGCTTAGTGCTACTTCCTGTCTGACAGGAAGTTGTATTCACAATCCTTTATACGGTAGAGCCCACAGGAATAAGGTGGATAGAAATAAACCCTTTTTCTGATCTCGGTGTTTCTGTAAATGCTTTTTAAGTTCTAAATTTAAAATGTCTTCTTTTTGTTCAGAGAGATCAGTCGAGCTGCCAGCAAAGTGGTCACAGGAGTGATTGAAGATGAAAACATTGGAAACGACGCCCAGTAAACAATTTGCTTCCATGTTATCTTTTACTCCACCAAATCTTTGCTTTTTCACTGTACAGTTGTTTTCTGTGCAGAGCGCTCACCTTTTTGTATCCATATGGAGCCACGTTGAGCGTGATGAAGCCCGCTGTGGCGGTCCTGTCTACTGGTTCAGTCTGCTTCCCGCTCAACAGGCCCGTCCTGTCCTTCTATCAGGGGAAGGTCCGTAGAGTTTTCTGTCATTTTTACTAACCGTTATGTTTTTGAACGTCAAAGTGTTCTCAGAGATATTTTATGTGATCCTGAAGGAGTCTGGCAAACTGGCGGTTTTGGGTTCTTGCTACATGTTCAGTGATCAGTATGTAGACAAAGAGGAAAATGGTAAAATCATGGTGAGTTCAAGAACATTTAATGTCAGAAGTTTAGAGTGGTTCAGAGTTTCAGTCCTTTTCTTTGCTTCATTTTATTGTAGGACGTTGTGCTTCAGTGGCTCATGACTGATAACATCCAGCTTAATCAGATCGATGCTGAAGATCCAGACGTAGGTAGAAAGTGCACGAGCGCACCAGCTGTCTGAATTCAGCTCACACTCATCCTCTGTGTGTTAGATGACAGATTACACCATGCTGCCTGACACAGGGCGTCTGTCAGGACAGCTCAGAGTCTGTTTACAGGAAGGTGATGAGAACCCCCGAGACTTCACGTCTCTCTTCAACAGGTCTTTGTTCAACTTGTCCACCGACACGTTACCCCATGTCATAAGGTGAGAAGGCAACATGAATGCATTGCACCATTCAGTCTCCTCATACCTAAACTTTTGTTCCTGTTTGTAGTGCCTATACCCAGCTGAACGTCAAACATGAGCCCCTGCAGCTCATCACGCCGCAGTTTGAAACACCGCTGCCTCAGCTGCAACCTGCTGTGAGTTTCTATTTCTACAGCCCAAACATGTAAACAGGTGACCTAACTCTGTCTCAAAATGTTGATTGAACAAGCACCCTGGTGATTATGATGTGCTCATTGCTCTTTCATTTATGTCGCATAATTTGGTTCAAACCTTCTCCTGCAGAAAATTTCTCTGTAGACATCAAAAGGATTTTATTGAAGTAAAAGACCTCTCCTGGTTGAAGCTCAAACATCATTTGAAGTTTAAACAGGTCTCAGAAAGTTGGATTTTTATGTGACTAAACTGGCCCTGTGATAACTTTCATATTTTAGTCAGTTTAATTTTAGTCTTTTTGTTTTTTAATAAAAAATCTGCTTGAACTTTATGTAATAGCATATGTGTATGAGAATATTGAAGAGCAGTTTAGCTGATGAGCAAAAAGAAAAACAATGGCTGTTATGTGAAGATGGTTTGGATTTAAATTGTCAGATGAGCAGCAGAAAAATGTTTCCTGTAGGCAACATTGAAAACAAGTCTCGACAAAAGGTCGACACTATTCAATTCAATTCAAAAATATTTTATTAATCCCAGAGGGAAATTAAATGTTGTTGTAACTCATCCTGGTTTCATTAAAGAGTTGTTATAGATGCTGATGGATGTGGGCAGGAAGGATCTCTTGTAGCGTTCTGTCCTACAACGGATTTGAAGAAGCCTCTGACTGAAGACACTTTGTTGTTGTATGACAGTCTGATGAAGAGGATGCTGAGGGTTGTCTATAATTTAAAAGGGTTGTTCTAGAATTGCGCCGCTCAAGGTGGCCGCATGTTGGAGTAGCTCTGTTTCTTTCATTCTGAGATATTACTTTTGATAACTTTAATTCCTCTTTTTTCTGGATATAAATTGCATTTTTTTTTTGGGATGATTATTTCCTCTGGTGTCGGATGCTGTGCAGCTGGAAGGATTTTTACAGAAATATCTTTGCTTTTGGACATTTGTTATGATGCGTAACCATAACAACAAGGTTTATTACAACCGGGAGCAGCTGATTAACATCTCCAAATCTCAAATAATCTCAAATACAGCCTCGAAGCAGACATGTGTTGGAACAACTGTCTTGTTTTAAAATCCTCTCAGACGTAAACAGAGGAGTTGGCACCTGTTTCTCCAGACTCGCCAAAACATTTCTCTCGCCTGTCTGGGAACATTTTCAATCTGTTCCAATAACATTCTTGCTGTTTTCTGACTTCTAGTAACCTCTTACATAACAAAACACACCCCTGTCTGGTTGATATTGACCAATCAGGAACGCTCAAATATACCGGAAATAGAGCCCTTTAAATGCCGGTACTTCCTAGTTCTCTCAGTTCTGAGATGTTCGCAGTTCTGTGAAGTCGTTTGGGAGAACAGAAGTCCAGCCATGATAAGGCTCTTCCGAGTTTGGATTATAACATCTTCCACCTCTGAGTGGAACTTCTGAAGGACTCCACTCATGTGAAGTCCACTTGCTGAGGTGAGCTTGTGTCAGATGGGATATCGTCACTACTTCAGACGGGTCACAGCCATCCTATGGAGACGCTGGACAGGTAGCGTTAACTGGAACTCCGTATCTGCTGATTCATCTTCAGAGAGGTAACGAGTCAAGTTTACTACCGAGCGTACCGAGGAAAAGCTGGGTTCGAATGGAGAGTGTCGGTTCTGGTCAACACTCCCCCTCACACACCATCTTTTACTCCCTTTAAACTTCACTTTCCATCTTTAAAAATTCTTCTATCAAGTAGAAATCCTTCCAGATAATTTAGAAATGTCTGTGTAAAGTGCTCATCCACCGCCGTGTGGATAATTGATCACAATTGTACAGCCGCTGATTAATTATGTTGTTATTCTCATATTTTGCCAAATTAATGTAAATGTTTGATGTAAACTTTGATTCTGTAAAATAAATGACCACATTCATTTTGATGGGTCAAAGATAAATAACGTCTCACGTTACATTTTATTAAATTCAATGCATGTTTTATTCAGTCCAGAAAAATGAAGAATCCGTTTTAATTGATGAATATATCTCAGCATCTGTTCATCTACAGCTCTGTCCAGGCTTCCATCCTTCTGATCCTCCTTCTGCTTGAAGCTTGTGATCTGTTTCATCCCTGACCACACCTCTCTGATATTGTTCTGTTGGAGCTTGCTCTCCAGCTTCTTCTTGTACACCTCCTTGCTGTTTCTTATCTTGACTTTTAGTTGCTTCTGTGTGCTCTTCAATAATTCCCTGTCTCTCTCCCTGAAGGCTCTTTTTTTCTGGTTTAGCAGTTCCTTCAGGTCAGTGGTAATCCAGGGTTTGTTATTGAGGAAGCATCTCACTGTTCTGGTGGGGATGGTGTTGTTTACACAGAAGTTTATATAGTCGGTCACACACTCAGTCATGGCATTGATGTCCTCTCCATGTGGCTGGCACAGTGCATCCCAGTCTGTAGCGTCAAAACAACCCCGCAGGGCTTCTTCAGCTTCCATTGACCATTTTCTCACTGTTCTCTTTATTTCAGGTTGCCTCTGAACAAGGGGTTTATATTTTGAGCAGAGAAACACAAGATTGTGATCTGATTTGCCAAGAGGGGGTCTTGCTTTAACGATGTATGAGTCCTTGACATTTGCATAGAACAAGTCCAGCGTTTTGTTTTCTTTGGTAGAGCAGCTGACAAACTGTTCGAATGTCGGAAGTGTAGCAGAGAGAGAGGCATGATTAAAATCCCCAGATATTGCAACAAACGCACTAGTGTGTTGCGTTTGTAGCTTAGCAACCTCGGAGCTGATGACATCACACGCAGTCTCGGCAACAGCATTGAGTTGAATGTAAACAGTTGCCAAAATAACACTGGTGAACTCTCTTGGCAAATAATATGGACGACAACTTAGGGCTAACAGTTCAATATCTGGACTGCAGAGATGACACTTCACAGTAACATGTCCAGGATTACACCATCTGTTGTTCACAAGCACTGCCAACCCACCTCCTTTCCTTTTGCCACTCCTCTTTAAATCTCTCTCTGCTTGTATGGTCAGAAAGTCTGGCAAGGAAACGCTGGAGTCGGGGATATGACCCTGCAACCATGTCTCAGTGAAACACATAACACTGCATTCCCGATACTCTGGATGGGTCCTTGTTAGGGCTTGAAGTTCATCCAACTTGTTTCCCAGCAATCTCACATTGCCCATCATGATCGATGGAAGCAATGGTTTAAACTGCATTCTTCTCTCTTTCTCCCTCTTCTTTGCTCCTGCTCTGCATCCACGACGCCTCCTTTTCAACTCATTTGGGATTTGAGGCTGTATTTGAGATTATTTGAGATTTGGAGATGTTAATCAGCTGCTCCCGGTTGTAATAAACCTTGTTGTTATGGTTACGCATCATAACAAATGTCCAAAAGCAAAGATATTTCTGTAAAAATCCTTCCAGCTGCACAGCATCCGACACCAGAGGAAATAATCATCCAAAAAAAAAAATGCAATTTATATCCAGAAAAAATAGGAATTAAAGTTATCAAAAGTAATATCTCGGAATGAAAGTAACAGACCTACTCCAACATGCAGCCACCTTGAGCGGCGCAATTCTAGAATGACACTAGGTATCTTTTATAGTTTAAAACAGCGCTACAAGTGGAGTATGAAGCTGTGTGAAACTGCAGGTCCAACTGTTGACTTCAAGGTTGCGGTTTCTGTGTCATTCGCATCATATATGGTACATGTGGTGGAACAAAATTGTGTACACAGGGTCCCAGTTACACTTGACAAAAGTATAAATTGTAAAAGAAAAACTGGCCTCATTCCCTGAAACAAACCACGGTATAAATTTAGCAGTGTTGTGCCTTATGAGAGCGTGACATTAATAAATCAGCAGCTTATCATATCGCTAAAGACATGGTCCTTAGCGGCTAACAAAATGGCTAAAGTTAGCTGTTTTGTTAGCCGCTAAAGAGAGTGGCTTTAACGATATAAGCTGCTGATTTATTAATGTCGCACCACCTCTCACTGTTAAGACTTGAAAATCTGTGTAGTTCTCCTTTTTCTGCCCGTCTGTGCCACTAACTTCACGCCTCCTCCTCCCTTGCTGAATACAAACACAGCCCCTCACCTGCTGCTTCACAGTTCACACACACTTAATGTATTTATTTAAATTTTTAAACAGGAAAAGATTCAAACAAATCAGGCCTGGCTCAGCATTTTTGCTGTTTTACAGCAGGTTCCTGTTCTGCAGAACATAAAAAAAACACAGAGATATCCAGCATCACATCACATTAATAGACACACAGACGTACTTCATTACAAAATACAAGAATGGCAGCATTATTACGGCAGACACCTAACGGTGATTTCAAAAGAAGGTGTCCAACAGATGACACACATGAGTCTTCTTAAAAAGTGGGAATGTTGAGATGGACTTTACATGTTGTGGAACATCATTCCATGCTTTAGTATAAATATAGAAAAATTATCTCTGGCCATAACAATTTTTAAAGGCTGGTATTGGCAAGTGTCCGCTTGTAGCAGCTCTAGTCGAGCGACCATGTCCATTATTGGTTTTAGGCATCAAAGTAGAAAGAGCTACATTACTGACACCATGAAAAACCTGAAAATACCATTTAATACTGCTGTGTAGAACATAATTTTGAAAAGTTAGAGCGTTTGAAGAAGAGCGAGCTTCACAGTGATGAGTCCAGCCAGGAAGTTTATGAATTTTGTAGGCCCTATTGTAGAGCCTAGCTATGGGTTTCAAGACTTCATTAGTAGTAAGAGTCTAGACCGGTAAACGGTATGACATAGTTGAAAGTATTATGGCATGAAGATACGTGTTTGAAACAGAAAATGTCAAATTTGATCTAATTTTGGAGTAAACATACATTTTTTGTTTCAGCTTGGTACATAAAGTATAGTTAATAGAAAGGGGTTTGTTTAAAAAAGTAAGGGAATTTGATATATTGAAATGTCTTCTAGGTGAGGAAAAGTACATACATAGTTGTTGGTTTTTTTTTTAACATTAAATCAAGCGATTTTCTTGTAGCCAAAAATGAAATTGCTGAAGATCTGCTTGTAGCTGACTGTTGATAGATTCGATATTTGAGCCAGATAAGAAAACAGTTTCATCAGCATACATTAAAATATTAGTGATTAAATATTTTGGGAAGGTCATTTATGTATAGTAAAAAAAGTAATGGACCCAGTATACTACCTGTGGGTAGAAAAGAGGAATTAAAGTTAAAAGAGGAATTAAAGATATCAAAAGTAATATCTCAGTATGAAAGTAACATAGCTACTCCAACATGCAGCCACCTTGAGCGGCGCAATTCTAGAATGACACTAGGTATCTTTTACAGCTTTGTCGTCTTCTTCTTTGAGGTTTATTGGCAGTTGGCAAACAACAAAGCCAGAGCAGGGTAGTGACTGGGATGTACAATTTCCATGTTTCACGACCTGGCACCTATCTGTTAAATACGAACAAAACATTTGAATTGCAGAAAATGAAAGTCGAAAAGAAGTCAGTTTTTGTAAAAGAGTATAATGATCAACTGTATTGAATGCTTTACGGAAATCGATAAATCCAGCACCAGTTACTTGATCTTTATTCAGAGCTTCTTAACATTGTGAAGGCAGCATAGCTGAAGAGATTAATATATGTAAATGTCTAAAAAACAAATATATGTAAATAGTTAAATTTTTAGACATTTAATTTATACAGTTAATAAATTGGCTCTCTGCATTTAACTCGTTCACCACCAGGTGGAGCATTGAGCAGCTATTGAAGGCACCGTGGAGCAATTGGGGATAGGGTGTCCTGCTCAGAGACACCACGAGATGTTCAATGACTGGGGATCGAACCTGAGGCTTTCGGGTCCCGGGTCGGCTGCCCCGCCTCTGCCCCATAAAGTTACAGCGGTTTGTTAATAAATGTGCTTGTGTGACAACTGGGACGTAGTTTTGACTCATGATCTATTTTTTTCTTTCCATAAAGTAATAAAAATATATCGCAATTTATCTTTAAAATATCGCAATATTAATTTTGGTCCATATCGCCTAGCCCTAGTGTGGTAGTTATTTGGTTGAGTCAGGAAGGGCATCTGGCATACAAACAATCGCCAAGTGTTCGTGTGAGTTAGTTCGCTGTGGTGACCCCTGAAGAAGAGAGCAGCTGAAAGAAGAAAAAAAAAAAATCCTACAACACACAAAGTACAAAACCAGTTAACGTTTCACCACCAGCTCTTTCTACCTTTTTACAGTTCAAGTTTATTTGAAGCTTAAGTTCGACTCTGCCTGTCTCAAGAGTGCTACCTGGGAGTGAGACACAAGAGTATGCTCGTTACTATGGTGACCATTAATGAGCCACTAGCAGCAGATTTTCCATTTATTGTCCCCCAGTCGTGGACCAAACGGGAGAGGAAAGGAAATGCCTTCATCTTGAATTGTTCTAGTTTTTAGTTTAAACAATTATTTTCCTCTTTAGGTTTTCCCACCGGCCTTAAGTGATTTGCCTCCTCCAATGCTGGACCTGTTTGATTTAGATGAAACATTTTCCTCTGAGAAAGTTCGCCTCGCGCAGCTCACCAACAAATGTAAGGTCCCTCAAGACCTACTGAAGAATGAACAGGTTCAGGTATGTGCACTCACTGACCAGTGGCTCCTTTCACAGGCACAGACGATGACCTTGAGTTCTACGTACGGAAATGTGGTGAAATCCTGGGTGTGACTCCCAAACTGGACAAAACACAGAGGGATGCCAAACACATCTTGGAGCACATTTTCTTCCAGGTGGTGGAGTTCAAGAAACTCAACCAGGTAAGGAGCGTGCTTCCAACGTGAAGTTATGACATGAGTCCTGGTGTAAAGCCTAAACCCCAACCTCTTGATCTATGCAGGAGCACGACATGGACACAGACGCACCATTCACTCCACTGGGGTCAGAACCAGAAAGAAGTTGATCTTCTAATGGACGGGGACTAAAGCTGGAGTAAAAGTGGAAGAACATTTAGAAACGACATTTAGTAAAGGTTTTATTTTTATTCAGATGAATTGTAACATTGTGAAACGTTTGATTTACATATCAATGCATTTCCTCCTTTATTAGAATTTATTAAATAAAAAATTAAAGTACATTTGTGTTCTATAATTCCATTCACCCTTGATGGTAGATGTAAGTGCTGGAGGCACAGCTGTGAGCTGTTTGATTAGTTTTGTCCAGATGTTGGGTAAGGTTGCTCTTTACAGGTCAGGGAGAAACTTCAGCCACAGAATGCTGCTGTGGTTTGGGACTCCAAGTCTGCTCCTGAGCACTGGAATCCATGAAGAACCGGGGGCTGCTGTTCTCCGCTTTAATCAGAGACACATCCCATGAAATCTGTGATGCTGTGAGATCAATGTAGGACTGATCAAAAGACGGGGCAGTTTTAGGCTTTGGAACCAGAATGTTGGGAGTGGAGGACTTCCCCTGTGAAGGTACAGTCAGGTGACTGTTGTCGGGCTCTTGCATGTTGGAGCTGTGGAATAAAAACTCGCGACAAGGAGAAATGATGTCCGTCGACAAGCAGAGGGAAGCCAGGACAGAGGCCCTGCTTTCAGATCGGTCAGCCACTGCGCCGTTTGATGACTTCCATACAGACGGCTGTTCCAGAGATAAAGCAGACAACAAACTCTGTTCTCCAAAAAACTTCTTGTCCAGCTCTGATGGAGAGGAGCACTCGAAGCTTTGCTTTCCTTTAAGGTAATGCATTTGGAATAAGGACTTGTCATCAATAGTTGTGTTAGTAGAAAACCACAAAGTAGCTCACCTTTAAGGACATGCTCCTCCATTGTATCACAAGAAGCCAGTCAGCCTTGTCGTCTTCTTTGAGGTTTATTGGCAGTTGGCAAACAACAAGCTGCTGATAATTGACTCAGCTGGAGGTTCAGCAGCTCATCAGAAGATTCTCTGTGGCAGCTGTCAAACATCAACTGGATGTATCACTGCCACCATCTGGACTGGAGGGACACTCAACAACATGTCCTCTGGACTGGAAGGTGGAATGTGTCCTCTTACTTTCATTTAGTTATAGACTGTCAATCAAACCAATTATTTTACTTTTGTACTTCTGGCAGTAAAATAAAATATGTGCCACAGTCTTGTCTTGTCCACAGTGTTTATGTTTACCTGTGGAACGTGTCTTCATTATAAATATTTTGTTTTATCTTGTGTGTGTAAATCTGACGCATGATATTGCAGCAGTGTCCTGTTTCTTCCAAACTCTTCATTTCTTCTAGTTGTGTGAATGTTTATGAAACAGTCACTCTATTGTGATCCAATTTTCTTCTGTACGTTCAGCATCTTTCTCGTTCCACAGTTTTTGTGCCATTTCCACAAATCATGTATCAATCTGTTCAACTCTTTCAGGACAATCCTGCTGTGACTTTTGGTATTGGTGCAGCTTTAGCTTTTTGAAATATTTTGACTTTTCTGCCACTTTTCTTTTTCAGAAAATTAATTGAGCTCATTTTACATCCTTCAAATCTTTAGATGTGTTTACAATCTTTTACTGCTCCTTTCATATTTTGTTCTGCTTCAGCTACTTTCAGCTGTTTTTTCAACTCTTTTCAGATTCTTTCTTCTAACTACAACATTTTGTGCTTCTAACTTCTTCCTGCTAATTTCAGCTTGTTATGCTCCTTTAAAGTTATTTATGCAAGTTTCAGATTATTCTACTATTTCAGCTACTATTTAGCTGTTTATATGCTAATTTCACTTTTTTTGCACTCATTTCTACTTTTTTTCAGCCTACTTCAACAAAAATGTGCTCTCTGCCTTGTAATTTCAACTTCTTTCAGCTTTTTATTGCTACCTTTCATGTTTTTTTTTGTGCTAATTTCAGCTCTATTTTTTTCAGATAATTTCCATTTCTTTGTGCTCATTTTTACTTTAAGCCTACTTGAGCAAACATGTTCTTTCTGCTTTCTTCTGGTAATTTAAGCTTGTTTTACCTTTTCAGCTATACAGGTCCTTCTCAAAAAATTAGCATATTGTGATAAAGGTCATTATTTTCCATAATGTAATGATAAAAATGAAACTTTCATATATTTCAGATTCATTGCACACCAACTGAAATATTTGAAGGGTTTGGGGTGTTCAAAATGACCCGAGCACAGAATTTCTGGAGCACTTCACCTTAGTATTAAAGATTTAATTGAGACAAAGTTAAAGTATGTAGATATTACATGTAATCAGAATGCAGTCTGAGGAACAAGTCAGATCGAACCTTGCCTGGTCAATCAGCCTGGTTTGTTCAACCAAACTTTGTGTCTGAGCGAGATTTATAGGTTTGTCATGTCCCGCCCTTTCGGGTTCGGACAGACTTGTGATGTCAAACCCTCTTGATGGTCCGAGTGACACCATGTTCAGCCACTCAGGAGCAGATCTTATCTCCATGGTAACTCCATGGTAACTCCGAAGGCCGCAGACAGCCTTCGGCTCATTCTTCTACTGATAAGGGTTGATTTACGAGCTTTGTTTTGGAACGCAGGACACTTACTCTGGCTTTCATCTGTATAGAGTTTTAAAACACGTTTTCTGTGTGACTGAACTATTATTAGTGCGTGAGCATAAATATTCAACCTATGTTAAGTATAAAGTATATGAATGTTGTGATTTAGCGTTATTTATGTTAATCAATGTGTGAGCAGTGTGTATCCTCAGCACTTGTGAGATTATATATAACATGAAGTAATTAGTGTATGATTATCCTTAGCACTTGTGAGATTATATATAACATGAAGTAATTAGTGTATGATTATTTACGCACACACCTTGTAGAAAATGCATCATTTCACATCATCAGAGAAATGTCAAGGCTTGTCAAAAGATATAAAAGATATCAAATCCAACACACCCTCTTTTGGTCTCCCCATATTTACGGGAGACCACACCACGTATGATTTGATTTTACCGATATTTTGATTCTGCCCACTCCAGGTGGCTCTGATCATCTGCGGAGGTGTCACCTGAGTGCTGCATCAGGGTCATGACATTAGCGGTTTCAGTCTCAACCTGAATCATTCTACGAACGATCATTCTAGCACAAGGTATAATACCAATCATCAAAACACAAAAAATAATAAGAATTGCAGTCAGGGTGGCCAAGATCTTTAGCACAATCTGACTCCAAGAGCCGCTCGTGAACCAAGACAGAAACTTCCAGGATCCTGGAGAAGGATCCTTACTCTTAGCCTTCTGTAGCGCATTAAGTTGGTTCAAGGCTTTGGTCACCCTGGCCTGGGGGTCGTGTCCGGTCTCATCCGGGACATAGGTGCAACAGGTGTCTTTGCCGATAATCGGGCAAATCCCACCCTGAGATACTGTTAACAAATCCAAAATCAATCTATGTTGCAAAACCATAATACGCAGGACAGTCAATTCAGCAGAGATGCCCTCTAAAGCTCTAACAGTAGCATTTAGGAAGATTCCAAAGCGATAGTCTAAAGTTTCTACCCTTAAGAGAAGTGAGCCCACACCAACCCAAGGAAACAGTGAAAGCATGACCTTTTCCCCAGTTGTCCAGTGCTTAAACTCCTGGGGCACATCTGTGCCCCACAGAGAGTCATGAGGTTTGATGTCAATAGCCCTTCTGTGTCTTACATAATGAGAACCATTACTTAAGGAAGCCATGAATGAGTCATCTGTCACGGCAACCGGTGCACACAGTCCTGTCCAGTTGGCTGGTAATATCAGCAGTACAGCATGGCCACACAGCCAGGCTAGATCCTCGACAGGATACGTTCCATTACTGTCAGGCACCCCAACTTGATGATTCCTAGAATGATAAACAGCTTGACACTGTCAGGAGGCAGTGAGGCCACCGCCTTCTGAGAAGCGTCCTGCAGGTGGCGGTAGACACAAATAGGAAATTGTTCCTCTGGGGTCCATTCTACAAATTGACTCAGCACCACTACCTGAGATGATTGCATCAGGGAGTACCTGCAAGTTTTACAACAATGTGGATCTTTCTCATAACCTCTTGAACTGTATTGCAGAAAGACAACTTGCGTTCGATGGGTTTAACACGTAAGGTCAGATGTGAGGCTGAAACTGATTTTGGTACACACATAACATTCAGCGTTGTGACGGCTTCTGGCCAAAAACTGAGCATAACGGTGCCAGCTGCTCATTTGAAAACTATGAGACAGATTCAACGCCAGATGATCCACCTCATTCACTTGAGACCAGGCCATGAATATAGGGTCGCTGCGTTTGACCCTTAGTTGTTGATGCTGGCAGCGGGAGTGACCTGGAATTACACAGTAATGTTCACACAGAAAAATTATGGAAGTGAGTAACACTGTCACCACACCCAATATTATTGTAATCCTCCAGGGGTTCTGGAACAGACCCATGGTGTAACACTTCGAAACCTGTAAAAAATACCAAATGAGTAAACCTTAGAAGTTAATTAAAATATTACCAAACTACTGGAAGATTAAATTTGAAATGAGTAAACGATTAAACCACTAGTTATAAAACAACTTATAAAACACTCAAAAATAGCCAAAATTGACCCCTGAAAATTGAAAAATACCAAAAGATTGACCTCTCTTTAAAATACCTCGAAGAATTTTAGAATGATTATGTTGTTCAATTGAATAAAGTAAAATTTTGAATATTTAGAGTTCTCAATTGAATCCACCGACCCTTTTAAAAAGCTCTGGTTGTTTCCTCAGAATGACTGAAAGAAAAGATAAACACTCATATTAAACACTCCTAGCTAACAGGTCTTCTGTGCTTGAGCTTGCGGTGGGAGGCCTTGTTCGTCCACAAGGGTCCTTTTGGTGCTCAGCGGGATTCGGCCCGCGGAGATGTCTTCATGTAAAGTCATCAGAAACTTTATCAGTCTGAGCAGACGTTTTAACTGACGTGTGTGCAATGTTTAAAATCTATATCAGTGTATTGCGTCTTCGTTTCTTCACGGTCAGGGCTGGGAATCTTCTTTCCTTCCCCGTTCCACCTGTCTGACCGACTTAGGCAGAGCGGAGACTTCTTCTCCAAATTTTGCTGCTGCCTTTTTCAATAAGGGGCAAAGAATGAACTCCCACGAAGTTCAGATCACCCCCTCCAGATGCCGTGGGGATCTTTACTCCTGCTGTTCCAGCAGGTCTGCTTCGACTTCTTTCAGCGAGCGGTGGGGTTCTTCAGCAGGTGCACATTGGCTGAGATGAAACCACGTGGAGCCTTTTCCTTTCAGACGTACTGCGTGTGAGGTACGGTCTTTGATCTCGTACGGCCCCGTCCACCTTGGTTCCGTCCACTTACGTTTCACCACTCTCAACAGGACCCAGTTTGAAGTGAGACTCGACGACTCCTCCTCCTGAGGAGTACTGGAATCTGGAATCTGTTGAGCAAAGCTAGACAACAAAGCTCTGAGTGGGTTATAATACATATTGTGTGACATGTTCATTACTTGTTCCGAGGGCCACTCGAGATTTTGCTGAGGCCCAGGGAAAAACCTTCCTGTTGTTAATTCATAAGGGGTGAAACCTGTACCCCTATTAATCGATGCTCTAATGGCCATGAGCGCTATAGGCAATGAATCAAGCCAATTGGAATGAGTCTGTGCACAGATCTTTGATATTTTTTGTTTGAGGTTTCTGTTTAATCTTTCAACTTTCCCCTGAGATTGAGGGTGGTAAACTGTCCCAAAAGCATGCTTCAATCCTAATGCTTTTTCAACCTTCTGAAGATCTGAGTTTTTAAAATGCGTTCCATTATCCGACCTTATTTTAGTTGGAAACCCGTGTCTCGGTATATAATGGTTTATCAAGCACTTAACGACTGTTTGACTGTCCTCTTTTTTCGCAGACCAAGCTTCTGGCCACCCCGTGAAGGCATCCACGCAAACCAACAGATATTTGAATCCTCGTATCGCTTGAATCATATCTGTGTAATCAATAATTATCTCCCGACCCGGTGTCATGTTTATTGGAAATTTCCCTTGCTCACGCGTCTTAATGGTTGGTTTAGAGTTGTACAAATTACACACAGTGCAGCTTTTCACAAATGCTTTAATCATAGATTTCATGTGAGGGTGCCACCAATTAAGTACATTTTTTCCCATCTGGTGTGCCCCCACATGAGCCAAACCATGTGCTTCTTCAAAAACTATCCTCTTTAAGGTCAATGGTAGGACCCATCCGCTGTTTCCTGGTCCTGTCCAGAGTCCATCATCCTTTTGTTCAGCACCATATTCAATCCACACTGATTTCTCCTGTGGAGCTGCTCCTTGTTGACAACAGGCTACCGTTTCAGCATCCCATCTCATTCCACATTCCTCTTCAGCTGTAACAAGCATCATCTGACTCCCAGTGATGTAGCCTGACACCCTCTTGGCCTCCTGGTCGGCCTGAGAGTTACCTCTGGCCGTGTTTGATGTCTCTGTGACATGTCCTTTACACTTTACAATGGCTACCTTTGCAGGTAACATCAAGGCTGTTGCTAGTTCTTTCATGTATTTTTCATGTTTAATTGGCTTTCGCCTTTCTAGGTGGAGTTTGCATTTCTCTCCGTGCATGCGTGGGTTTTCTCCGGGTGCTCCGGTTTCCTCCCACAGACCAAAAACATGTATGTTAGGCTGATTGGTAACTCTAAATTGTCCCTAGGTGTGAATGAGAAAGTGAATGTTTGTCTCGTTTGTCTCTATGTGGCCCTGTGATGGACTTGCGACCCGTCCAGGGTGTACCCCGCCCCTCGCACAGTGATTGCTGGACATGGGCACCGGCGACCCCCGTGACCCAAAATGGAATAAGTGGGTAAAGAAAATGGATGGATGGATGGAATTGGCTTTCCATTTGCTGTTAAAAAACTTCCTCTCATCCACTGAGCCAGCTCCACGTGCGCTGCTCCAAAAGCATAAGCTGAGTCAGTGAAAATGGTGACTTTTCTTCCTTCAGCCCACTGTAGGGCTGCAATTAGGGCCCTTACCTCAGCCCTCTGTGCTGACTGAGCTCCCTACAGTCTCTCCTGAACTATTGTATCATACCCCTGGTCTGTTTGATGTACCACCGCGTAGCCAGCACTGAGCTGTCCATCCTCTTGACGGAAACAACTACCATCACTGAATAGAACATGTCCCTCCTCCAGAGGTGTGGCTTCTAGGTCTGGTCTAACCTTCTCATCTCTCTCCACCCTCTTTTGGCATGCATGTGGTTCCCCAGTGCCTACTCTGTCTGCCATGTTAATCCCTTCATGAGTAAACAAGTTTGGTGCTTCCAATATTTTGTTTATACGCTGTTGTCTTAATGGTGACATAGTGAAGTTTTGTGAGTTAACATATGCAACTACAGTGTGTGAAGTCAACACATGTAGAGAATGTCTCATCACCAGATGAGCTGTTTTCTGAATCAGTTTGGCCAGACCTGCTGCATGTTGTGTGCATGGCGAATGTCTTTTTTCTGTGTTGTCTAGCATGACGCTAACATACATTAATGTTATCCTACCCCCCTCATGTTTCTGAAACAAGACACCATTTATCACTCCTCCTGTTTCAGAAACATCCAAATAGAAGGGTTTTCCGTAGTCAGCGAGAGCTAACTCAGCTGCTCTGCTGAGATGCTGTTTTATGTCAATAAATGTTCTTTCAGCCTCCTCAGTCCAGTCCAATGGAGCTGTGAGGTTTCTCATTCCTTTCTGTTTAACCAAGGCGCGCAAAGTTTGTGTTAGGCCTGTGTAGTTTGGGATGTAATTTCTGCTGTTACCTGTCAGGCCCAGAAATTACAGCATTTCTTTCACTGTCTGCAGTTTTGGATGATGTAGGATGGTGTCGCGGTGTGAATAAGAAAGGCCTGCTCCCTTCTGAGAGATAATTCTCCCTAGGAAAGATACTTGTTTTCGCGTCACTTGGAGTTTATTTTTACTTACTTTAAACCCGGAGGCATGTAGCTGTCGCAACACGGCTTCGGTGGCTTGTAACGAGTCTTGTGCAGTATGACTTGCGATTAACAAATCATCAACATACTGGACAAGCACTGTGTCCTGTGGCAGTTCTATATTGCCCAGAGCTTGTTTTAACACTTGATTGAAAATCCCTGGTGAGAGCGCAAACCCTTGCGGCAGTCTCGTATATCGCAACTTTTCTCCACGATATATGAATGAAAATATGTCTCTACATTCTTCTGCGAGGGGAAGGCAGAAAAAGGCGTTTGCGAGGTCCAGGCAGCTGAACCATTCATGTTCTGGGGTCAGGTTACTTAAGGCCACATAGGGATTCGGTACTGGCACGGTGGGCGTGACCAGTAGTTTATTTATGGCTCTCAAATCATGTGCCATACGAAATTTGCCTGTACCTGGCTTTTGTACAGGTAAAACTGGTGTGTTCCAATCAGAGTATGAGGGTTCCAAGACCCCACTTTGTTTTAACCCCTCTATAGTTTCAGAAATTCCCTCTTCAGTGACGGGTTTGTGTGGATCATCAGCTCGCTGCAGAACAAACACCCCAAGGCTCTTTACGTGGTAGCCGGAGACTTTAACCACGTGAATCTAAAGGACTCTCCCGAGCTTTTATCAACATGTGGCGATTCCAACACGTGGAGACCACACGCTGGACCGTGTTTACACGAACGTAAAAGATGCATACAAAGCCAAACCCCGCCCCCACCTAGGACTGTCAGACCACATCTCAATCTTCCTGGCTCCTGCTTACATGCCCCCGCTGAGACGCTCCAGACTGGTACAAAAGAAAGTTAAATGCTGGATACAGAACAGTGGCCCCATACTGAGAGATTGTTTTGACCGAACAGACTGGCAGGTTTTCAGAGAAGCTGCTGAAAATGGAGGTTCGCTTGATCTTGACCAATACACATCCTCAGTTCTGGGTTACATTAGTACATGTACTGACACTGTCTCCACTATCAGAAATGTTAAAAGCTACCCAAACAGAAAACCTTGGCTGAATGCAGAGGTGAGTACCCTGCTGGAAGCCAGGAACACTGCCTTCAGGTCTGGAAACTCAGAGGAGCTGAGTAGGACAAGAAAAGAGCTGGTTGCTGGTATTAAGAGGGCCAAGGGCACATATGCAAAGAGGATTGAGGGTCAATTCATCTCACAAGACCCTCGGAGCATGTGGAGGGGCATTAAGTGCATAACAGATTATAAAGGAAGGAGTGAACAATGCCCCAAAGACCCATCTCTGCCTGATGCCCTCAACAAGTTCTATGCACGCTTTGAAGACCCGAACAGACCACCCAGCACCAGACTCACCTCACCACCGGATGAAGAGCATCTTAGCGTGACCTCAGCAGAAGTAAGGAGTACCTTCAGGAAGATTAATCCGCACAAAGCAACTGGCCCAGACAACATCCCTGGAAAAGTGTTGAAGGAATGTGCTGATCAGCTCTGTGAGGTGCTGGCAGACATCTTTAACACCTCACTTACCCTGGAGACAGTTCCCACCTGCCTGAAGACTGCCACCATCATCCCAGTCCCAAAAAGCTCTACAGTGACTGGTCTGAATGACTATCGGCCAATGGCCCTCACCCCGATTGTCGCTAAATGCTTTGAAAAACTGGTCATGACTCGCATCAAAACAACCATCAACATCAACGAGGACCCTCATCAGTATGCATACCGTGAGAACCGATCAACAGAGGATGCTATCTCCTCTGTGGTCCACACTGCGCTCAACCACCTGGAGCAGAAAAACTCTTACGTCCGTATGCTCTTTGTGGACTTCACATCCGCCTTCAACACCATGATCCCCCAAACCCTGATGGACAAACTATCCACACTAAGACTAAGCCCCTCCATTTGCAACTGGGTACTAGACTTTTTAACAAACAGACCACAGTTAGTGAGGATCCACAACCTCTCCTCCTCCACCATAACCCTCAGCACTGGCTCTTCTCAGGGATGTGTGTTGAGCCCCTTCCTGTTTACTCTGCTCACGTATGATTGTGCAGCTACCCATCCAGGCTGTCACATTGTAAAGTTTGCAGATGATACAGCGGTGGTGGGATGCATCACAAACAATGATGAGTCCAGCTACAGGCAAGAGGTGGAACACCTGGAGAGCTGGTGCAAAGAGAATAACCTTCACATCAATGTGAAGAAGACAAAGGAGATGATTGTGGACTTCAGAAGGAACAAAAACATCTACACCCCCCTGAACATAAGAGGATCTGCGGTGAAAGTGGTCTCCAGCTACAAGTACTTGGGTGTACACATGAATGACAACCTCAGCTGGAGCAACAACACCACCAGTCTGATCAAGAAAGCTCATCAGAGACTCTACTTCCTCAGACGGCTGAGGCGAGCTGGTCTGGGAAGCTCAGTCCTCACCTCCTTCTACAGGTGTGCAGTGGAGAGCATCCTATGCTCCAACATCAATGTGTGGCATGGAGGCTGCACAGCTGCAGAAAGAAAAGCTTTGCAGAGAGTGGTGAAGGCTGCACAGAAGTCTGTCGGAGTCAGCCTCCCCACCACCACAGACATCTACACCTCCAGATGCAGGAAGAGGGCCACCTGCATCATGAAGGACCCCACTCACCCAGCACACACTTTTTGCCCCACTCCCCTCAGGAAGGAGGTTGAGGAGCATTAAGTGTAGAACCACTAGACTGAGGAACAGCTTCTACCCTGAGGCTGTTAGACTCATGAATCTCTAACTAGAATAATCACTGTGAAAAACCATATAATGTTGCTGCTGATCTGTTTCATGTTGCTGCTGATCTGTTTCAATGTTGATGTGTTCATGCATGCACATCTGCTCACAGACTCATGTTCATGTTTGTGCTGATGTTCAATGTTTTATGTTATGAGTGCTTAGTGTATCTTTAGTTGATGTTTTTCTTAGTTCATATCTTAGATGTTATTACTGTTTTTCTTATACATTTTATTGTTGGATGTAACTGGGACCCTGTGTACATAATTTCGCTCCACCACATGTACCACATGAGGTGCGAATGACAATAAAGAAACTCTGACTCTCTGACTCTGACTCTGGATATTGTTTTAGCCAAATGGGATATGTGTTTTGGACCTGAAACGATACGGGAGCGCAGTTTGTCAGTCCCACGTCCGTGGGTCCTGCAGACCATAACGATTCAAGCATTCTATCCATCAGCTTACACGCGAGCGGGTGGTCAGTCTGTTCATGTCCATGCTCCATGGGGAGGACATTGTGCTGTAATAAAGCTACATCATTTGCTTCAGAATCCACTGAATAACACTTACAGCTAGGCGAGAACCAGATACGTGGTACAGCTGTTTTTACCCAGTCTCTGGCTTCTGAAGCCATTTTTACCATTGGACCTAAATCTTTAGCTTGATATTTTGGATTTAAGCCCAGTGACATGTGAGGCACTGCTTCTGTGCTCATCATATACCAAGCTTCTTGGTCTAGAGTTAAGTTTACAATAGCTGCCACCCTTTGTTTTCCCGCATGAATGTTACCTGTTTTAATTGACCATATTTTCCCTTGTAGTTACTCTGCAAAGTGATCCTGAAAAACCTCGTCACCTTTTCTGTCATAACAGAGGGTTACATGTAAGGGGTCTGAGAGCGGCGTGTATGGCTCAAGAGTCCGGAACCATGGCTCCCACGCCAGGTATGCAGAGAAAACACCCATTCCCCCAGGGATCTCAGATTCAATCAGCCCCCAGTAGATGTCAGCATACTCATCTTGGACGGGTTGGATCACACATTGAGAGTGGGAAATGGTGACCTGGCCACAGTTCAAGGTGGTTCCATCCGGGAGCCGGACAATCAGTCCATCAGGTGCACAAAGAATGGACGCTCCAAGCTTTATGAGAAGATCTCTCCCAAGGAGATTCGTTGGTGCATTTTTCACAATCACAAAAGGATGGGCCAGTGTTTGTGTTCCCACTTTAGTGGTAAGGGGAACTGTTACAGGCAGTCTCTGTTTTACCCCAGAAAATCCAACAACCTCCACTGACTGCTGTGACATCTGGCAGCCAGGTGGTGTGTGGTTGATTGTTGAAAATGTCGCTCCAGTGTCGACTAGAAACGGCAATGTGTCAGTTCTCACTTCGACATCTAGCATTGGGTCTGCCCCTCCCCAAGCATATAGGATTTTCTGTGGGTCGTCTCATTGTTCTTGCGAGCCCCTCCCTCCTTGCATCTGAGGGGGCACTTCTGCCTGCTGTTGGTATTGTGTTTGGCCTCTCATAGGTTGCTGGTACGGCCGCTGTTGTTCCCACATTGGCTGGTGGGGAGGTGGGCCTGGGTGCATGCAATATCTCGCCCAGTGCCCCTGCTGACCACAGAGAAAACAAGCATCCCCCCCACCATCCCCAGCGCGAGACGCCACGTCCCCAACTCCTCCGCGCCGCACCGCCACCCCTTCTCCCTCGTCCAGCTCCCCTGGCTGGATGTCCCCCTCTGACCCGCGGACCAGACGTTTCAGACCACTGTTGCACAGCAACTACCCCTGGTGTGGAGGTTTCGACACCCTCCTGAACCGCCATTTGTCTTTTCTCTTTCACTTTTTTCTCCTCATTTATTTTATGTCTGGCCTCATTCAATTTAAGCTTAACCAACTGATTTTTCATGTCCTATAGCTCATTTGCTTCCTTCTCTCTCTGTTTTTTAGCATATTTAAGACGATGTACCACATGTCTCTCCCACCTCTCAGCATCAGCTGCAAGCAAGTCAGCATTTTTTTCGAGGTCGTCCACAACGTCACTAGGCAAACCTTCAAGTACAGCCTTCCTAAAATACCGTTTTTGCTGTTCGGACTGCGCATGTCTACCAGTGATTTTCAACCAAGCATCCTTACTTTGTTCTATAAACTCACTAGGCTCCATGTTCTTGTCCCAGTTAAACTCTGGGATGGGCATTCCTAATGGCAGTGGATACAGTTTTCTGATGATGGGAGATATCGGATGGAAAAACTCATGCAGTGGTCTCTCGTCTGGCAAAGCTGAAACAGCAATCTGGTGGTGGCCCACATCGATAACAGTGTTCATAACAGCCTGTACCATTACATGATTCGCACACCTAGCCAAAATGGCTTTAAGGTCACCCACAGCCAGTGTATGTCCTAAAGTCAGAGTGTCCAGTTGGTCTAACCACCTCGACCCTCCCTCTGAAATAGGTGGTAGCTTGTCTACAATGGCCTCTATATCCCTCATAGCAAATGGTTTATATCTCCGAGCTCCCCCCAACAGTCCTGGTATGGTGATTAACGGCAAATTGCTCCCTACGGTGTCCCCAGTCAGGTGCAGTTGTGTCTCCTTATCCTCAACTACGTAATCTGTCTTGCCTCGAAGTTGGTGCCCCAGGTCGTCATAAGTCAACCTATCTGTCTGCTTCCGCTCTCTGGCTAGTCTCCTACCTATAGGCTGCTCCTCATCTGAATCTTCAAACGTCCCAGTCAGTTCTCCTTCAAAATTCACTGTTTTCTGCATTTGTTCTGATGTAGTTGCTACTCGAGTCTTTGAAGTGCTCGTTCCTGCCTCTGCTGCTCTTGTTGTCTCTATTTCAGTCGCTCCTGAATCAGAGGTTCCTCTCAGATGTTGTTGGTCAGCTAGCCAGCTGCTAGCTGATGTCTCTCCTTCGTCCTGCTTCCATCCTTCGGCTCATCCCTCCTTCATCACCTGCCTCCTCTTCCACTTCTTTCCAGCTCTCATTCCCTATGTGTATGGTACATGATGTCACGTGCATTACTGGGTACACTCCAGCAGGGGGCGCCGTTGGACAGGTCTGAGAAGTCACATAGGGTGGAGGTTGTTTCCCTGTGTACTCCTCCTGATTCAACTCCTGCACACTCTGGCAAATGAGTGCCAGTTATTCATAAGCTTTTTTGACTCTTGCATGGTTCTTTTGGTCCTTTTTAATTTGTCTGCGGCCCCAGAAAGACTTGCATGTCACCTTTTTTTCTGCGAGTCCCTACATCTCCAATTATATTTGCTTGACTCTGTCCCACATTATTCTTGTGAGTGGCTGTCTGGAGTTTTCATCTTATTTTTTGACCAGCTGTGTCAACATTGCATTTAGTTCTCTCCTTCTTGCTCCGTCTCTCGCATAAACTCGTTTGATTACCGCTACTACCCGATTTGATTGTTTTTTCACGATTTTATATATCACATTACTCTGCTCCAAGAGCCCCATCTCTCATTCAGCATAAACCACTCTCATACGGCCCTCAAACTTTATTTTGTAATCCTTTCACTCCACGAGCTGCTGACCGTGCGTTGATCGGAGCCCACACAAGCCTCGACCCAAAACAGTGTCAGCTTTTTTGTTGCACCGATCAAAACACTGATCAGCTACCTCCACCCGAGGTGTCTTTGCTCGTTTATTCACACACAGAGATGAGCCTCACTCGTTTCACACACACACACACACACACACACACACACACACACACACACACAC